TCAGGGTTTAAGGGTTTAGGGTTTAGGGTTTAAGATGGTTTAAGGGTTTAGGGTTTAGGGTTTAGGGCTTAGGGTTTAGGAGCCTGGCCCGGCCTCCTTGAGGCCTTGCACCATCATGGGGCTGTGCGGTCTCTCGGATCGATGCGCTGTAAGAGCTTCGAGCCGTAACTTGCAGGAAGTCAAGCGGTCCAATGCATGTGGGTAGTTTTCTGAATTATGGTCCTTTTTGGGGTCCTTTTTATAAGGGTGCCGTACTATATTGGGGACCTAAAAAGGGACCCTAATTTAGAGAACTACCCATGTAAGGCTTAGGGCATACAGCGGCCCCTTGCATTTAAGGCTTGCAAAGTGGTGTTGCAGCACCTTATGTTTGGGGCTCAACATGTTTTTCTAAGAAAGAAGGAAGTTAGGGCATAGAACCAGTCGAGGAACCACCATGATTCGTGATAGCGGCAACGACAAACAACGGCAGCAACAACATGGCAACAAGTGATCAAAACTTGTGAGCTTTACAACCCAAGGCCACAAGCCGAAGCAACTCGAAACCCAAAGTCTACCATGGGCGCCCAAAAAAGCTCCCCATGACCTGTAAACCCAAGCCCAGGCTCAAGGCTTCGTCACGCTTAGAAGCCACCGTGCACAGCTCTTTTTTGGAATAAGCAAAGAATCGGAAAAGAATCAAAAACACCCCCGCAAAACGAACAAGGCAAAAGACTACCTTCGGGACAGTCACGTTTGGGCCTTAGGGGTTTAGGTTCATCTCTGACCGCCCCACCTCAAACACAGGGGCTTCTCCTTGAACTCGACCTGTGCCGTCGGATTAGGCAACATGGAGAGGACATCCGAAACCCTCGAACCCCAAGTACTAGACCTCAACTCCAAAACCCTGGGCGAAACACTCGAAACCCTGCAACTCTGAACCGTGAACATTAACCCTGAAACCCCTTTGCAAGGCCGTTTTAGACAGAATAGGGTCTCGGGAAAAATTATTGTATTATTTCGTATTGCTATTTCTGGGAGCCCCAATGAATGATGTTGGTAATGCTTCAGGCAACCTGAAACATCATCAAATCCACAGACACTGAGTCCTGTAGCTTTTGGCCGAACCGCTACAAAGAAGCCTCCCAAACAACACGTCCGAAACTCAGAGTGCAGGGCTTCAGGATTTAAGGCCTTGTCCTCACGAACAAAGGGCCTGCCAAGCGGTTTGATTAAGGACGACATGTCTGGCCATGTGTGGCTGTTTTATGAGCCCTTCATCTTCTTTGGGGGGGTGTAACTCGGTATTCCGGAGGGATCCTCAACTTCTAATATACGGCTTCTGATTTAAGTTCAAGGTATTTTCCTAGACAAAAGGAGTGTCGGGCTCCAGGGCTGGATGGCTCCTCCAAGCAGCGCCAAAGCTTGACATCCTTTACCCTCAAATCTCGAGCCTCAGGTCTTTGAAGCACCTACGGGTTTAGGGTTTAGGG